AGCTGAGAGTTTGCAAAAGTTAAGATATTTGTAAGCACCAATGACATCTCTTGAAGGGGCCTTCAGGAAATATCTGGATAGGACAATGATGAGACATAAAGCTTGTCAGTGAAGGGAATTTCCTAAGTCAATGCTCTATTCTCTATGCTAGTTAAGGACTAATGAGGAGTCCTTGTAATCAGGTCTCTGAATGGGCGTTGAAAATCTGGACAGAGTGAAAAAATCTGAGTCTCCTCCATCAACAGCGACTGTCAATGTGATGTTGAACAAGGCACTTCACCCACAGTGTTATAATATAGTTTTCTATTATATGGCTGTACTCAGCAGGTCCAGAATGATAAATTCAACCAAAAATTACCAAAATTAAATGTGGCACCCTTTGAAACCTGCCACCATACAAGGATCTGCACTGAAATTCGGTCAATTAATAATTTCAGGCATTAGCTCAGTTCCATAGAGACACCAAAATGTTCTATCTAAAACAAATGGGCACACAAATTTAAATGAATTATTCAATGGCAATGTGAAATAAGTTTTTTTGTGAACACTCTTTAGGTGTAGGTAGGTAGCATACAGCCTCACAAAGTAGTATAAAGCCAGAAACTTATCGCTGACATTATAATAAACCACCTGGCTGCCTACTTGCCTTGCCAATCGTCTAAAGTAGAAAATAAGGTTAACATTTGTGTATGAGTATTGATCCACACCCTGAGGCTTTGCTACTTCTTTGAAACCAGGCCCATTAAACCTTGCCCAACTAACTGTTTACTCACATCAGTCTCAGTGTTTTCTGTTGCCATCAAGTAAAACACAAAAAGCAGAGTCTAGTTTGTCCACTGAATATGACTATTCACTGAAAGCTGGTTTCCATGCTCTCTATGACAGTGTACTGTGAGCGAGGTGTCCACCACCTTTCCCCTGCCCTTTAATTCATTTCTAAGTTAAAGCCTGTGTATCATTATTCGCTTGAGCTCCACTCGCCCGACACTGCCAGAGCACCCAAGCCCCATCAACTTGAGGGGGGGGACGTGGCGGTGGTGGTGAGGTGGGGGATTCTTGGCAGAAATTCCCCACAAATTTTATGCCAAGAGCGAAATGGAAACCTCCTCTCATTTTCCTTTCCCCTTAATCCAATGTTTTCAAGCCCCAGCCCCACCAAGGTCATTATAATCATAGCAAGTGGAAGGGAGCCAGTGACCCGCCATTACGGTAAGGTAGAGAGCCACCCAGTCAGTCGGCTATTGGCTGACGGAGAGGAGCAGAATTCTGTCTAGAAATGTTTCAAATCTCTCCATTTCAAATGTAGATAGCCAGGGGAGGAGGGAGCAGGATACAAGTGCTCCTCCCAATACACTTTAGTTTGTGCTCTTCATGATGTGGACTCTCACTCAGTATTTATTTTTAACATACTCACTCACTTACATTAAAAGGATTTGAGACACGGATGACGACTGGTTGAGAAATGTTAAGGGGACTTGTTTGATCCAACAGTTTATAATATGTACATTCTGGCAGAGAATGTGCCAAAACAATATTGAATATTTAGGCCTATCCTGACTGACTTGCTATCATTTTTGAAATCACAAAGTCACATACACAAAATATTTGAACTTATAAGCATTTTTAACCAACCCTAACTTTAAAGAGTCAGTAATAAGGCAGCAAAATTACAAACAATAACTCACTGCAAGGTCATAAAGAATGGCAGTTTTCATTGTGGCACCAAAGGTCATGTTTACTTGTCAGAGTGAAGGCGCCATACTGTACTGTGACCTCCATAGCCGGCTTATGTACCCACAGACACACACACAAACACAAACACACACACACACACACACAGAGAGAGAAGGGTTGCGTGTTCACTTTCACATGTGCGTGCCGTGCACACACACTTAAAGAATAGTCTCCTCTCACAAGCTGTGCCACAGACAATAGGACAGTACACACTGGGCTACACAACCCATATATCTGGGTCTGTGCTAAGATAAAGCACCTCCAGCATTAAAGCCAGTGTATTAGCTTGCCCTTTTTCACCACAGATGAAGAGATTTGAAGCTCGATATTGTGCTTGTTGGCTGGCACACCACCAGGGTGTTGTTGGCTGAATAATGAAAACACACAGACTGACAGCGAATGGCATGAGGTGACACTTCCATTCTTGAGTGGGAAGATCCAAAACAAAGCACAAAAAGCTTCTGACAAATTCATACTTTTCTTTGACAGTTTGTTGACTGAGGAGGGAAACAACTCCTAAATCAGAAAAGGCTTTCATTTAAACCCAGGAACACAGGCACAGCAGTGCTTCAGTACAGTGCCTACACAGGAATACATGATTTCAGATACGTGGGTGAAGAGTATTTTTGTTACAGACCAATTACGAAGCGGCTTAATTGAAAGGTTGACATGGGCTTACTTTGATTTCATGTCCAAAAGACGGAAAATATTGGACTTCATGTTTGACTGATCCAGACTGCACAATAATGACGCTGTGCCAAACACAGCCCCCCCCCCTCAAATGTGTATTTTTTGAAACACAAGTTGTCCAAAATCAGGAAGCTTTAGCAAACATAAACTCAAGCATTTTCATAGTCAGATCTTACATTTATTCAGTCCACCACTTTTCTAATAATTAAAAAAAAAAAAAAACATCGAAGTATGCCCTTAAATATTTTAGCCATTATAATGCAGAGCTTGTTTCTCAAAAGAAAATCCTTGTTGGGCAAATTCATCTCCAGGGTACATTTGGATGTTGTAATGGGCAATCAATTGTTATTACTGTTGGTGGGCAACTATGTGCTAAAAACATATTTTTTATGTCAGCTACACAAAAAAAATCAGTTTGAAATTTAGTGACACATATCACAAAAATATAAAAAATCTATTAATATACATGTGTTCCTGTTAACATGGTGACATGTCATAAAATCAAACACAATGAGCCACTTCAATTGCCCAAAACTATTTATCTACCTTTATCTTATTTCCATGAAAAAAGACAACTTATGAAAAGTATCAGCGGGCAATATTACACTTCATATTGTATTCATAATTTAATTCTATACAAGTGTACAAACATGCTGGGTACAGTTTTAAAGAGTACATCTCAAACAGAGAAGATGTATGTCATTGATGAAGAAAGGAAATTCAGTAGATCACACAATGTTTCTGGTACTGAAATAAAAGGCTACAGCTCAGATTTCATGAATTCACTGTACACTAAATACACTTCTTAATACACTGATTTTGGTAAAATACATTCAGTGGACAAGCGCCCAAACAGAAGCTTCAATATGCAGAGTGTTTGTAAAAGGGCTGCAATGAGTTATAATCAGATTTACATCATGACCCTGCTCTGTATAGTCCAACCATGTGGCTTACATATTCCTTATGCAGCATATCAGTGAGGGCTCACTGTCCAAATATCTTCCTGTCACTCAGTCACACATACACACAGAGATACACTCGCAGTCACTCACTGCACCCACTGTCACCCAGTCTCCACCTCTATACCTCCCAGCCAACCGCTGCAATTTCCCAAGTTCAACCCTAGGTCAAACACCTGAGCAGTAAATAAGCAAATATTAACACTAAAAAGATAAAAAATAAAAAAAGCAGCATTTGTGCATATTGTGTGAAGCTGCAGAAATTACTCCATGATGTTCATTTGTTTTAATGTGTCAGAAGTGTTAGATTGGTGACAAGTGTAAGAGCTCATTCATTCCTCAAACCACTGGACATCAAAGGAAAACTAAATGTCTGTGAATTGAGTAAAAGAAGCCACTTAAAGTATCTTTCGATCATGGCTGGTAATTCTGAAACAGGTGGCATGGTCTGACATTTAAGAAATGAAGAAGATAGTGTCATAAGATAAATGTACCAAGCCATCATTGATTTAAAGATGAATCACTCCATTATTCATTACATTTGCATACCCATGTGACTAAGTGAGTTGTTTGCTTACGCATGTATGGAGCAGAAATGATCAAGAGCAAAAAATGTCACCCTCGGACAATTCCTTTAATAATCGTTGTCATTGCCCACTACCATCTAAGCAATCCTCTAGTGGCCAAAGTGGGGTACTGCGGCTTTTCATTATCTGGACTGATAAAGGCACAATACGAACATCCAAGATACGGTGGGTCAAATGTACAAAAGTAAACCAACCTCCTACCAAAATCAACAACAAGGGAATTGTAGTAGGTTTCTGCTGCGGTGCAACGTTATTCTAAGCAACGTACTAGAGCATAACTGTCGTTTCCCTTTTCTAACCGCGTTATTGATCGTAGTCTGTCTGCAATGAATGGCTGCAAAAGGACGGGGGGAAAAACCCTGAACTTCAGGTGACCGACCATGGCTCTGACACAGCCTGCATACAGACTGGGAGGGGTAGAAAAAATACATCGGCTTGAGGGGGGAAAAAAAACTCTCCACACTTTTAAAAGTCGACGACAAACAAGCGCGAACGAATTCGGTTCCGTGATTTGGAGCAGCAAAACTATGAGGTGAAAGTTGGACGTTTATTGCCGAGGAAATGAAGTTTACCGAGCGTTGCTAGATAGCGCTATTGCTAACTAGGAACACTAGGGTATGGGTAGCCAGACTCTGGCTTGTCTGATCCGACTGACCCTTCATTTTATTGCGGCCAGACTCCCAGATCCTCCCCTTTCTACCCGAAAAGCGACCAAGCAGAGGCGAACCCCTAACCGAAAACGCTCGGCCGTTATTCCTCACACACAACCGACACATATGCCAACTGACCGCAACCTTTAGCGGAACCGGACCTTTATCGATTTTACTCTTAATAAAGCCACGTATCATTTATCCACTCACTGCCTTGCTAACGTTACCCATCGCCAACAACATGGCTGCCTCGCTCGGACCTAAAAAGGCAGAAATAACCTACGCCGAGTCTTTTGTCTGTTTCACCTCTTTAACCCTAAACTACTGCGCAAAACACACGGAGAGCCGTTAAAATTGCACAAATCGAGTGAACGACTTACGTGAAGGCAGGCGCTTGGGTTGCTCCTGCTTCCTCCTTGGCATTTTCCCCCGTTTTTAATCACATTCTCGTCCTTGTTTAGGGATAAGAAGAAAAAAGGTTTTTCCCATTGAGACTGGAGGCGCCAGTGATGGCAGGGACTTGGTCGTGCACCTGGCTTTGCTCGGTTTAAAGTGTATTGTTGGGGAATGGGAACACAGGCGGAGGAGGTGCCGCTGTTGTTGTTGCCGTGTCTTGACTATGGCTGCTCTCGGTGCAAGTGTGTCTCCGAGCCCCTAACTAACACTAATGCAGGGATCAAAGGGCAGCAACAGCAGAGCAGACACACACGCGCACGCACGCACACACACACATACACACACACTCATTCACACACATTCACACGCTCTCACACACTCACGCACACACTCAAACACACTATTGCGTGCACGCACACATTCGAGGAGCTCGCCCCCGAGAGCAGCGTACGGACAAGGTGCCCCCAAGCTTTCAGGGTGTATTGCTGAAAAGAAAATGTATTTGAAAAAAGCAAAGCGGGCATAATTCAGCGGAGAGACCATATTGATGGAGTCGAATTACATTAACGGAATCCATTTAATTTCCTTCAAACATAATAATAAAATAGTGAGTGACGATAATAATTTATGCGAATGATGCACACATGAATGTACATCTCAGTTTTGGCCGTTGTGAAATATAAAGCAGAGGAATGTAAAACATGAATTTAGCTTGATTTAGCAAAAGAGAGATTTTACCACCATAACCTCGTCTTTATTATAATTAAAAATAATGAATCAAGATAAATTTTCTAAGCTGATAATAAATATTAGCGGGTTAATATTGACTAAGTGACTTGGTTGGGACAGAGATTTTGCTAATGTATACATTCAACATATGCTGCTGTACTTTGATTAATTTTCCATACATAGTACACATTTATATACCATTCAGAGAGGAAGACATTTAAAGTCTTGGCTTTTTGTAAAGTTTTTACTGGCTTACCAATTCATAATGATTTATTAACTGTATAAAAGTTGCATGAAGACAAGCTATAACAAAAAGCTAATTTGAAATAGTCGATTGTCACACTATCAAACATTATACATCTGAATTTGGTTGATTTTCATCACCATTTCCCCCTACCCCCTTTTTTTCACACACAGACTCCATACATGTCAAGGCACTAATTTAAAAACTGCCTGCTGTGTTATACCTAGAATCTGTCTATTAAAGAATAGTTTGGGTTTTTTTTTTTTTAAAAAAAAGGTACATTGTGTGGGAACCAGTATTGAATCAGGTGGGGGCAATAACAGGTGTCAGTGTCAGAAAAATGTCCAGCAAATATCCATCCCAATGTAGTCATCTCCTCATCAAAGTTGAGAGACCAAAACTGGCCAGAGCTGAATCCTCCTCCCTCTCAGCTGGGTGTTGGGGCTTTTTCACAGCGCAGGCTGTCCCCCACTCCCTGCTGTTGGACTCCTCCAGGCTGCGTTCTGTTGGCCTGCCGCGTTCTTTCACACCTCGGCCGTGTGCGAGGAGAGCTGTGTCTTCATCCCTCCATCCTTCCATCCTCCAGTCCTCCTCCTGCCATGCCTTCCACCCACCCCCAGCGGAGGCGCAGGAGGCTCGTTACCGTGGCAATTAGTGAAAAGCCCAAATTAGCCCTCTTGGCTGTCCACAGGTGACAAAGACACTTTGCATTTCTGCTAATTAGGAAACAGAACAACATGATTAAATGGGGCCTATCAGGAGGAGAGTGGACAAACATGTTCCACAAATAGAAAAGCGTTATATATTATTGAATCTCCTGCATGAAGACATCCCATTAGCTTTTCCATTTGAGGAGAGGATAATGTTGGCTTGTGAATATTACAGTGGTTTACATTACAATTTTTAATAGACTTGTGTGAGTGTGTTCATGTGTTTATGTTTGTGTAGACAGCTGTGTTTCTCACCTGCACCTGCAGATGGACTGTCCGTGGACAGATGCTCTGACTAGAGAGTGGATGAGCTGTGGCAAGAAAAAGGTTAAAATCCTTTAGCTTTCTGTGTTTTGCAGATTGTGTGTTTTTGTACAGCACAACATATGCATATGGCAAGACCTCTATTGACTTCTTGAACTACATCAGGGAAAAAGTTCTCAATTAAAGCATTCATATCTAATTATTCATTCCTATCCGATATACTATAGTTTATAACTCTGAGAGAGTTATACCTTTCAGAGTATGTCCTACATATACAGTGCATGTTTGTGATTTTAAAAGACATAAAAGGCAACTTGAAGAGCATGGATAGACAGTTATGGCTCACATCAGTTATCATGTCTATAAAATGCAATGCAGTGCAAACAGTTCTTTTATAATTCCACTAAATCAGTGTAATGCGGCAGTTCTGGTTTGTACAGCTTGATGAAATTACAGATAAATGTCTTTGTTCTGTAGGTTTCTGGGTTTGTTAAGAAGATGTTTATACTTACAAATTTTGAGTTAACAACCCCAGTGCAGCTGGAATTCTCCTTTAAGCTTTTTTTTATGCTGGATGGTTTAATCAGTGTTAAATCTTCCTCTGTGTATTCACCCTTTGCTTTTTACACCACATCAGTGGTAATTAATGACAGAAAACCTAATGTAACATCAAACTCAATTTAACTGGCTGCCTTATTCCAGACATAAATCATCAGAAATTTAAACTTCTAGGCTACATCCCATACCATGATTGCCCCTAAACATGTACAGTAACAGCAAATTAGTTATACTAGACTACTAGTGTTTCTCTTGGTGGTGTTTTTATTCCCCATTGAGTTTGATCACCATGGGGAGGTCACAGACTGTTCCCTGACCCCGACAATGCCAGGCAGCTGAGGTAATGCTGGCAACAGGACAGTCTGCTGATAGTAGCCATGACAACATTGACATGACCTCACTCAGGGTTGAACCTAAAGGTCATTCTTCATTGCTCCAGGGATGAGTTCTCCAGCTATATTACTAGCAACAGCTCTCAAATTTCCCGGGTAGAACACACACTATACACGCACATACACTAATGCCCTGAATAGCCTTTAAATAACGCCACAATAAGAGCTGTGCGTTTATGACTGTTTATCTAACTAAGTGAAGAAGTAGAATACTGTATACTCAAGGTCAATTAGAATTGTTTTGTTTCACTTCCCAATAACTGGTGCAGGATCCCTGCTTTGAAAACAGCTCATATTGTCAGTCGGCATTATTACTACTTATTAAAATGGTTCCCTATAGTGGCACAACAGTTAGTGGGGGCTAAATGAGTTTCAGGTGCTTCAGTGGAGACTGGAGCAGACTGGAGAGAAATGAGCTAACTTGCTTATGTGCCTTGGGGGCAAACTGAACATCCTCCAGTTTCTCCTCCTTTTCTCTGTCTCTTTTTCTCCTTCCTCCTCTATCCTCTCAGGCCCTGTCCTGTGCGGGCTAGGCTGGTTGGGCTAATGTTAGGCTCGGCCAGTCAGATGTTGCCCTGGGGTAAACAGAAACATCTGTCCCCTGCCCAGCCGTGACTGTCGCTGAGTGATAAATCCTGGGGTGGCTTGTGCCAGCGCTGTCCGGCGTGCCACCTGTCCCCCTCCTACACAATATCCCCAACCCAACCCCTACACGTACACACACACACTTCACCCTATTTGCACCCGTCCGCCTTCATCCTGACAGTGTGACAGAAGCAGGTGGTTCACTCCCTTTTTGCCCTCTGGCCTTCTATGCTCTCGTCCTCGGTTGGCACATTTATGCAGGGAGCGGGAAGGGTTGTCGCCTCTAGCAAATACCAATGGAGAGATCCCTGTACCAGGTTATTCAGCGATGGTCCTAGGGAACTCAGAAGCTTATAGCAGTCGTTTCCTTTAATCAGGCATAAAGTCTGCAGATCAGATAAACTAAGTTTCGCAAAGGTCAACAAAATGCCCAGTGAAAAAAAAAACATCAGAAAGAGCAGGAGATTTTAGAGTATGTGACTAAAATGACAATAGCTTTTACTTATTTAAGGATTTCCCTGACCCTCTAGTAAATTCAGCTGTCAGAGAAAAGCATGCACACACACTTATTCACTCATTCTTTCTTTCTGTCTTACTCTCCTGCTACTGCTTCCTGTCTCTGCTCTACTACTTTTACTAGTGTGACAGAGGCAGGTGGCCAACTTCCTGCCCTCTGACCTTCAACAGTTTCCCTGCAGTAAGGAGACAGTGCAAACACACACACACAACGACCCACACACACACACATACACAGAGGAGGAGCCTAGGTTGCCCTGGGTGAACTGGGGCAGAGGTCTTGCAAAAGGCCCTGGAGGGAAGTGAAGGTCCTTAGACTCGGGGACAAGAGTTATTTTAGCTTGCAGTGCCAAACCTGACAGGCTGAATGATCATCCCAGCAGTGCCAACACCTCAGTGAATATGCACATCAGAAAGAAAGAGCCATGCACACTATAAAACACAGCCCTGTCTGACTAAAAACTGAAGGGAATCAGTGAGCTGATCATTGACACACCCCTTCCAAACACAGTTCTGAAAACAGTGTGCTCTTTTATCATTTCAAGTAGTTTGCATACTGCATTACAGAACATTTTTCATAAAATGTCACAAAGCACTAGGACAGTAACACTGCCACCTGCCTTTAAATCACTATTTTATTCCCACAAGTTGGGCGAGCAAAAATAATTACAAAAAGTATTATGAACGGCTATTCAGTTGTCTACCTCTCTGCCCTTGGTTGCTTGACTATCTTTTTTCTTTACAATATGTTTGAATTCATCAAGCATAAGGCCAGAGATAAATTCTTTTTACCATTTAAAATAATATCAGCTGCTGAAAGAGCACCTCGACACTTGAATCTGTTTTAATTTGAGCTGTACTTTGGGCTTGTGTATGTCTGTGTGTATGATTTGCATGTTTGTTTTATGCCTGTGTGTGTGTGCAAGAGGACCCCTGCTGATTAATGTCACTTCATATTGTAATGGAGCGTGCTGAACATGTTCTGATATCTGTAATGTGTTACCAGTCTCAGCTTGATTTTATTGCCATGGTCTAATAGGATATTGCCACTATCACAATTTGGATTAACTTCCATATCACTGCTGTTAAACCAAGTGAGGTTTGTATGTGTGTGTGCACACAAATGACAGAGAAGTGGGGATGTCTATCAGGGTGGGCTGCTCTGGTCGATTAATTTCACATTCAGCACCTCTTTCATAATGCATCTCTTCTATTTGGCACCACAATAGTTTTCATTATGAGCAGTTAC